TCAACAAGCTTCTCCTGCTTGCAGGATCTGCCTGGGACTACTTGTAACAAACATCCCCACAGAAATGCTGTCAAACGCTGTGGTTTCTCCTTTTCCAAACATCAGAAAAATCCTGCTAAAATACAACACTGAGATATACCCCAGTTCCCACCCCTCTCCATTTACATTCCGCTCTGAGCAAACACCTTTGTAGACAGCCCCTGTAAATCACAGACACTGAAAACCCAATCCAGCTCCTTCACAACATCAAGAGTAACTCAATCCTCCAGCTAGGAAATAAGGCATTATGCTCCCACATTGCTGGGAGAACAGATGAGGCCTTAAAAAACAAATAACAGCCCATTATTTCCCTTCCTATCCCTACAAAATAATAACAACAGGCTACTGTACCCTCTCTGCCATCACACACACTGAGCAGGGCTCATCCCTTGCAAGCCCCTCAGAGAGAGGCCTTTAAACGAGGAACCCATATGTTATTCTGGTTTTTTATGAACTCCACCACCCCGGGAGGAATCAGCAGCTCTCTCCACCAACAGAAACAGTGATGGCACTTGGCTGGCAGGGTTTGCACCCCAGCTCTGCCCACAGACCCCAGGGTGCTTAGTCCAAGGCTTTAGAAGGTAAATATTTAGACAGAAACGGTGCTGGAGGAGTCTTTAAAAGGGAAAGCTCGCTCGTCTTGCGGGTGAACCTACAATGATGTACATATATATAGATACAGATATAAAAATACATTCCCATCTGCTTGATGCCGCCTCTCTCGCCCTGCCAGGGGATCAGGTCCCAGCCTTGCGCTGAAACCCCTCCGGAGGGACCCTCCCCCGGCCACAGCCCCACGGCCTCGCCCGTGTTCCTCTGAGGCACAGGAGCCCCAGCCAGGGGATATTCCTACAAATAAATCAATAAACTAAGTATGACACCCCCACCCCAGGCTCCGGCCTCCACAAGCCGGGACCCCCCCTCCCAGGCCGACCCGCGGTGAGAGGCCGCAATCCGGGCCCCCCGCGACCCCCGCCCGCGCCCGCGGCCTCACCCCGCTCGCGTCCCGCCCGGCGGCTCCTCCCGCTCCGGCTGCGGCCCCGCCCGGCTCCGCTCCGGCCCCGGGCCCGGCCCCGGCTCCGGCTCCTCCCGCGGCGGGGCGGGCACGGCCCCGCTTCCCGCTTCCGGCTTCCGGCACGGCACGGCCCGGCACGGCTCGGGGCCTGCTCACTGCCCGGGCAGCGCCGCATTTCCCGGGGAACCAACACCGCCCAGGGAACCAAAACCGCCCGGGGACTGCCACATTGCCCGGGGAACCAACACCGCCCGGGGAACCAACACTGCCCGGGGTAACCAACACCGCCCGGGGAATCCCCACACTGCCCCGGGATCACCATGTCACCCAGGGACCTAACACCATCCGGAGACTCAACACTGCCCCGAGACCAAACACCGCCCCGGGACCCAACACCGCCCAGGGACTGCCACATTGCCCGGGGACCCAACACCGCCCGGGGAACCCCCACACTGCTCGGGGACACCACGCTGCCCAGAGAACCCAACACTGCCCGGGAACAGCGCCCTGCCCGGGACCCCCACACCACCCGGGGCCCTCAACACCCGGGCCAGCCCAGCCAGGGATCCCAACGCTGCCCAGGACTCCCAACACCCTGCTCGGCCCAAAGCCTCAGCACCCCCGAGGACCTCACCGACACCTGTCCCTCTGCTGTCCCAAACACCCCTCAGGACCCTCCAACACCACCCTGGGACCACCAACACTGTTCCAGGACCCCCAAAAACCCCCAGGGACCCCAAACTCCCGTGCCAGCCCCAGGGCCTCACAGTGCTACAAACATCCCTCAGGACCCCCAACCACCCTGGTACCCCTGAACCACCCTGGTACCCCTGAACCACCCTGGTACCCCCGAACCACCCCAGTACCTCCCAACAACCCCAATACTTCCCAATAACCCTGGTACCCCCCAACAACCCCGGTACCCCCCAACCACTCTGGTACCCCCGAACCACCCCAATACTTCCCAACAACCCTGGTACCCCCCAACCATCCTGGTACCCCCCAATATCCCCCCAGCACCCACATCCCTCCCTGCTGGCACCCCCAATGTCCCCCTGAGACTCCCTGCACACGTTTCAGGCCAGAACAATGAGACCCCCTTTGCCAGCACCCATCTCTGTCCATGATTATCCCCAACCCAGACCAGCCTGAGCCTCCCCTGGATCATCAGAGCTCCTCAGGACCCCTAAGACCCTTCCCAGCACCCATTTGAGCCCATACATACCTTGAGACCACCCCCAAAAACTGCCTGACCCTGTCATTACACAAACACACCCCACCAGGACCTACCTGAGCCCATAAACACCTTGAGACCACCCCCAGCACCTGCCTGATCCCCCATCATTCACAGACCTCCCCAAGAAAGATCTGAGCCCCCCGACCCTCACCAGCACCTTGAGACATCCCACATAGCACCCACATGAACCCTCAGCATCTTCCTGAGCCCGCAGCACACCCAACACCCTCCAAAACCCCCAAAATCTTTCACAGCCATGTCCCACAGCATCCCTAACACCTCCCTCCACCCCCCAGCACCCCATTAGTCCCCAGTATCACCCCACAGCCCCCCCAGACCCTCCAGCACCCCCTGGGAGACCCATTTATCCCCCTGAACCCCACTTATCCCCAGCCCCATGGGGGACTCATGAGTGCTCATTCCCACAGGTCAAGTGACAAGCACTGAGCACACAGTTAACATCCCCTAAAAATACATGGGAAAGCCCTAAAAATTGTGGGAAAGGCTTTGAGGAGTAAAGGGCTGGAGATGGGGCAAGAGAAGGTCCCTCGAGGCACCCCTGCTATGAAAAGCTTGGTAGAATGCAGGAGCCAGGGGTCTCAGCCTCACCCTACTCTCAGACGTGAGCTTCAGTCCTTAACTGCAATTAAACATATTTTCAGTCAGCTCTTGATTGTGGGTGTGATGGGTGTTTTTGGTATCTCTCCAATGCATTTTCGTAGAATCCTGGAATGGTTTGGGTTGGAAGAACCTTAAAGATCACCTCATTCCACTCCCCCTGTTCCACCAGACCAGACCAGGTCCCTTTAGAGCAACCTTGTTTAAATTTCAGCCTTGTTTAAGTTCTCGGCCTCAACAACTTCCTGCAGCGCTGAGTTCTGCAGATGAATTAAACATTGCAAGAAAAAGGACTTCCTCTACTCAGGTTTGGATTTCCTGCCCTGTCAATCCCAGCCCAGGGAGTGGGATTGTCTCCTCATCTCAATTTTACTGCCTTTCCAGGGGAATGGGATGAAATTCTGGGAGACACTCCTGGGCAAAACCCAAATCCCATGGCTGGGGCACTGAAAGCTGTGGTTGAAGATTTGTTCCAACTTGTCAGAAGCTTGTGTAGGTGCTCTGCTTCCAAGGTGGATTCATCCAAGCAGGATGATGGAAAATGCCCGCTGACTTTGGGCTGGGATCCGAGATCTTCCCAATCTTGCCTTGGCTGAGGCAGCTCCTCTAATTCTTGTGGAGCGCCTTGAGGAATTTCACACAGCTTAAAAGGAAACCACCTGATTTAAAAAAAAAAAAAACAAACATCCTGTGGTCCAAACAAGTATGCATTTCCCTCTTGCTATTAATATCCCAGGCCTTGATCCTCCTCCAAATACTCGTGCAGGCGTTTAATGGCTTGCAAAGGAGCGGTGTCTTTGATCCCGGAGTGGGAATGTCTGCTGGGATGTGAATTATTAAAGGTGAAAGATGCTTTCAAGTGCAACATGCTGCCCATGTTTTCCAGTGTGATTTATTGCCTGCCCGGTGTTTCTCTCAGCCTGGCAATGAAAAATTCATTTCCAAGTTTGGCAGGGAGGTTTGGAGTGTAGTAACTCATGCTTTGGGCATAAACGCCATCCTTTTTTTCTAGAGATGATTCCAGGGAAATAAGATAGACATTTCTTTCTGCCTGCTGTTCTGGGAAGGTTTTTTTTTTTTCAGCTCCCACTTTGGGCCCTGTTGGAGCTCCCCGGTCCTTCCCTGCAGCAGCAACATTGCAGTGGGGAGGAACTGCTGCAGCTGCTGCCATCTAACGGGAAAATTCAGCCTCCACAGCATCAACTCTTCATTTTGGAATCAAATAAAACTGTTTCTTGCACAATCCTGCTGCCACTCGGCCAAGCAGTATCTTCCATGTGCAACCCCAGCATATTTAGGCAAAATAAAAGCTGATCTGATGGGTGGCTTTACATGGGGAAGTGTTACAGAGCCAGTAGAAAATTTTTATGTTGATCAGGCTGAAATGATGCTTCTCTTATTATGGATCAAATTTGCAAAGTACACTTGGATTTATATTATTTTTAAATAAAAGAAGAAATAGTGAAGAAGGTCCCAAACAACAAGAAAAAAGCAATTCCAGATATCCCAAATACCAAACCCCTAGGCACAGCTCTGAACTGAGCCACATAAATCCTTCCTGAGGAGCTGCTCCATCACTAAAAATATTATATAAAGAAATATGGTAAAGAGGGATGGACAGAAAATGGGAGCATTAAATATATTGCATCAAGAAAATAAAGTGTTTTAATGATGGGGCCAAAGGAGAATGGCTTGAGGTAGGCTGGGGGTGGAGACTTAGGGTACAGAGGTACTGGAGTGATAAACTGTGATGTGCAGGAGAAATAAATCATCCCTAAAAGACTCAGAAATTCCAGAGTCACTGCAAATTTCAACCCTGGCTGGTGAAGCTGATATATATAAAATATATAAAATTATATGTGAAATATATAGTGTTGCTAGAAGCCCAACTCCTGTTGTCACTTTATTTTCCTAAAGCACAAACTGGCTACTATTATGCTTTGCCATTATGTACATATAAATAATAATGGCAACAAAAAGCAAGCCCAACTAGGCAGAATTATTTCTGCAAACTCTGCAAATAAGCACAGTCTTTAAATACACCTGTTGAACTGCTGGGAATTTACATGGAACATATAAAATACTAAAATATAGCACTTGTATTCTTATTTATTTAGCCTGTGTGTCTTTTTCTTCTGCAAAAATATAATTCAATCAAGCTGTGAAAAGATTTAAAAAAAAAAACACCTTGAAATTGTTATGTGCTTATTTAGATTTTTCAAGCTGGATTTAAAACCAATTTAGCACTTCACAAAGAGTAGAAGGGCAGGATGCAGCAGCTCATTCTTCTCTGCCCAGCCTGAGATTTGTTGCAATAATCCAGAATTCTGCTCTGGGGACAACATAATGAAAAAAATCTCTTGCAAGCATTTATCTTCTTCTTATCCTGGATGTGCTAAGGGGTTTTTGAATTTATTTTGAGCAAAATATTCAGTAGTTTCTGTCAAGCTCCCTCACTGCTCACTGGCAGGATAAACCACAGAAGGGAAAAATTAGCTTTGCCTTGTGTCATTGGAGAGATTTAAGTGCATTTAGAATATATTGAATATCTCATTGTTCCTGATCAAATCCAATCAGATTGCAAAGCCAGAGGAGAAGTCCCTACAGCCCAGAGCACCAACAGCACTAAACCCCCTGGTTTTAACCACTTGGATGGCTTCAGGTTTTTATTTCTTCTCTCCAAAGGCTTGGGTTTACTCCCTGCTGCTTCCAGTATCATTGCAGCATTTCAGACCCAGCTGGGTTCCTTTTCTGCCTCTTTTCTTGGCCGGTTTTTTGTCTCCAAAAGAAAGTGGTAAAGTTCCCTGAGAAGTATTTCGGAGGGCTGGTGTGCTCTGGTGGAATGGCAGGGGGTCCCCCACAGCAGCTTTTGCTCTCAGCATCCAAGGAAGATCAGGCAAGGAAGACACACAGGAAAAGAGAAGGTGTCCATGGACTATTTTTAGGCTTTTCTGGCTGTTAGTGCAGTTTCAGATCAGTGTGTGGGGTGGCTGTCCATCACCAGCAGCAGCCCTTTTTCTTCTCAGGTGCCTTTGGTACCTCTTCTGCCTTCTTTTTCAATTCATCTTCACGAACTTTGAGCAACCTGGGAGAAAAGGAAGCAAAATAGTTGGGTATTTCCCACAAATTTTGTATTGCTGTGCTGTTTGTTTCGACAAGCCTTGGTACAAGAGGTTCAACACAGCTGAAAGGAGTCAGGATCCTTCCAGTTCCATGTGATCCGAGAGCTGTGGATGCTACTAAAAATTCCAGCCTAAATCAAATCACAGACAGAACTTGTTTCAGTCAAGCCAGGGAGAAATCAGCAGCATCCTCAGATGGGTTTTATTCACCTCCTTGCAATGCTGGTTATTCAGGAGACAAGTTAGGGCAGTGCTAAATGCTCATCCAAGCATGAGCTTCCCTGAGTTTTCCCTGACATTTGGGCATGGAGTCTCTGGTGATGGTGACATCCAGTATTTGGAGTCAAAAAATGCAGGGAGGGAGCCTGTTAAATTGAGGACAGGTGGAAAAATCCAAGCACATGGCTCACCTGGTGAAGCTGACCATGGACTCAAAGACATTGTGGCCTGAGGCAGCGCTGCACTCATAAAACATGAGCTGGTGCTCCTGGAAAACACAGACCCGAGTAGAAATGTAATGTTCTTGCACTGGAATAGTTTATGTGGGAATAAATAGCCATGGGACAGTCACAGTCAAGGGGAAACAGGGGGGCATCAAGGAAACAAATAACTCAATAACTTATTTACTGGAACATGAGGGTGAAATCCAGATTTTCTGTTTGCTATGACACCAGCTTGTAATACCAAGGAAAAGGATGACTGTGAAGGCAGAAGAATTTGTGATGCCTTCTGGTCATAGAAGCAAACACAGAGAGAGGCGTAACTAGATGTTCCCAACTCTTTTGCTCCCTACCAGTTTGGGAAAATAAGCATCCATCCCTCATCTCCATTAGCAAAACTGGTCCATGGATTCTGGCCCAAATCCCATTAGGTTTAAAATTAAATTGGTAAAGGTGAGATTCTTCTCAGTCTCCTCATCTAATTTTTATTAGCCATCTATATGTGAAGAGATTACTCAAACTTTGATCATTTCAGTATCTTTAAACCAGGATCGTGCTCAGTGGGTTTATTATTTTTATGATGCTGGGAAGATACTCAACACTTCACAGCAAAGATAAGCAGAGCTGAAAATGTTTTAATTTACAAATCCAGTTCCATAAACCAATTTACTGGGATGGTGCTGAGGCAAAACTAAAGTGACAAAGGGAAAGCAAGGCAGGGAAGGGTGAGAGATGGGTTTGGAGAACATTTTGTCAACCACTGCATGAGGGGTAAATTAAGGGCTTTCCCCATTCTCCAGCTCTTGGGGTTGGTGGTGTTGATCCTTAGCTGTCCCTGCCTCGCTTGGGTGGCTGTGCTTCACCACCTACCTTGGCCAGGCATTCACCCTCCTTTGTAGGGACCTGTCTCTGGGCAGCACAGTCGGTTTTGTTCCCAAGAAGCAGAACAGCAACTCCATCCTCTGCTCCTTCCTGAGTGAGAAAGAAGATAAGATCAGGACAGCTTCAAAATCTTCCTTGAATCCCAGCTGGCCACACTGTCTACACATATCCTGGAACACCATGACTGACACACACACATTTGGGCTAACAACAAAACTTTAAATTACTGAATAAGTTTAACAGCATTTAAGATTTTTTTTTCCTTAAATCATCTGCCTGTGTCTATTAACATGACAGAGCACTGGATGAGTTACACTTGTAAGGAATTCACTTTGTACTCAACTGCAGCAGCCCTCTAAAGGTGCTCTGGCTGGGATTTACAGGCACCAAATGAGGCAATATCCTATTATGTTCCAGCATTTTTAAACACTGGCATTGTGTCAACTGGAAATCTCTGAGAAGTTTTTAATAGGCCTTGACTAACCTCCCATTCCCTAGGACTCAAAGTGGATTATTCTTGATGTAAAAGCAATGTTTTCCATTCCTTTGCACTAGTTTTTAATTGTTTAAGAGTTGATCATTACCCTACTGGTTCTATCAACAAATTACTCTGGGAAACACTGCCAGCGTGTGAAAATCATTTGTATCTGCCTTAAATCCTCCATGAAAAAAAAATCATTTTATAAGGAAAGCAATGCAGAATACCCTTTCCCAAGGGCTTGGCCACTCCTGTCAGTCCCAGGAGCTGGGGACCGCGCCCACCTGGATGCAGCTGAGCCAGTAGCGCACGTCGGAGAAGGAGTACTCGGAGGTGATGTCGTACATCAGCACCACCCCGTCCGCCTTCCGGAAGAACTGCTTGGTCATGCTGCGGTACCTGCGGGCATTTTGGGTGATCACCAGGATGATCTAAGGAGGTTCTGCCTAGGAGTGATGGGAAATCCTAGTGGAAAAGGTGGGAATGCATGTCTACAAAATAGGCAACCCCCAGATTTGGCTCTTGTCCTGATGGCAGGGGCCCCGGCACAGCCTGAGCGCCAGTTTTATCTTAATTACTTCCTTTATTATGCTTTATCAGATCACATATGTACAGAGTCCCTCCTTGAGCAATCTCACCTTTGCTTAGCAAAGCGAAGGATATCAATTGCCCCTAAACTACAGGGAAAAAACCACAGGTTGTGTCCTTAAGCAGCACAGCACCTCACCTTTCCTGACCAGCTGAGTCCCACAGGCGGAGAGCAAAGCGCTTGTTATCCACAACGAGGTTTTTGATCTGGTAATCCAGTCCTGGAAGACACAAAATAATATGTTTTGATACTGTAGAGTTCTGCCCTGTGACAGAAGATGGATGGAGAAGAGACATGGTGCAGGGTGGTGTGAGGCTGCAGCTCCAGGAATTGGTCCCAAGTGAACCTCTGGCTTTTAGATGTTTAATCACTGGATTTTGGGAAGGTCTCTCATCTCATGATGAATAAAACCAGGCTGGTGAAGAAAGGAGAATGGAGCTGAAAGGCAAAGCAGAGAGGAAAGCATGGGCCACTGTTGCTAGGAAGGACAAGGAGGAGCAGCATTTCCTGCCCATGAGCACCCAGGTGTGGGGACTTGGTGGTTCTGCGTGGCCCCTGGGGACTGGTTGTACAACACGCTTGGTGTGAGCTGTGACAGGCTGTGGGGACCTGCAGCAGCTTGTGGGGTGGAGGAAGGGGAACTGCAGCCGTGATCTCAGCCAGTGCTTGGAGAGGGGCTGGGGGAGACCTACCCACTGTGGCCGTGAGGTGGGGGTTGAAGGTGTCGGTGTGCAAACGGTACAGGAAGGACGTTTTGCCCACGTGGGAGTCCCCAACAAACAGCACGTTGTAGAGGTGGTCTGGCTCCAGGGGAGCTTTAGGACAACCCTGTGGGGCAGCTCCTGCCACACCTGCAGTCACAGCCCATGGCTCTCCTGAGCTGGGCTCACCTTCCTGGCTCATTTTCTGACCAAACTCTTGCATCTTCTCTCGTTGACCAACGCTGCGGTCTGTGCTCTGTTCTCCCAAGAGCCGCCTTTGCCCCAGAGAGTTTTCTCTGAGGACCACCCCCAGCTGATCACTCCCAGTATCTCCAGGTTGCACTGCCTTGTGCAGTGTTGATGCTGGTGGCACCTCTTGCTTCGGATGCTCAGCAGGTCCAGCAGCCGTGTGCTCTGGTTCCATTGTGGGTGGTGTCTTCCCCTCTGGCTGTTGGGCCACCATGTGAAGCTTCCCCTCATGTCCCTGTGCTGAAACCTGCTCCTGAAGCTCCCTTTGGGCTGCCTGTCCCGGAGCACAAAGCCGCCACACATCTGGAATGAGAACATCCTCCTGCATCATCGTTTCCAGCTGTAGGGGGCTGAGTTGTGACAGCACCTCGGAGACCAGGGAGGCCAACTCAGCATCACCATGGCCCTGCTTTAGTCCTAGACCCTGAGTTTTCACTCCATTCTTCACCCCTGCCTCCAGCCTCTCTCCCTGTGCCACTTCCAGACCGTGAGCTCCATCCAGAGGCTTCCCCTCTGCAGGAGCCCTTTCTCCCTGCAGTAATTCCTGTGCCTCCAGAATCTGCCCTTCAGGACCAAGGCATGATCCCAGTTCTGTTTCCAGACCAGGGCCCTCTGCAGCAGGGGCAGGCTCAGGACACAAAGCAGCCTCAGCTGGAGGGGGCACATCTGCAGCAGCAGCTCCTTCCCATGGGTTTGCAGTGTGAGATGCACCCAGAACTGCCATCAAACCTAGAGTCAGGCTCTGCTCCCCTTCCCACAACCCAGCTACACCCAGAGGTGTCAGATCTGCCTCTGTGCTCTCTCCTGAGCCTGATTTGGGAATCTGCTGATCTGTGAACAGCCTCACAGCAGCATCAGTGCTCTGGGCCTCCAGTATGTGCAGCCTTTCAGCCTCCTCCTGTGGCTGTGCTCCTGCACCAGCCCCCTCTCCCTGCTGGCCTTGTGCTCTTTCTGGAGCAAGCACAGACTCCTGTGGCAGCCCATTCTCACCTTGCACTTGTGCCCCACTCTCCTCATCCTCCTCATTCTTAAGAGCTCTTCCCCACTCCCTTCCCCACGAAGTCCCTGGGCTGACACCCTCTGACAGCTGCAGATCTGCCAGGGCATCCTCTGCCTCCCCTTCCACCAACTTGGCTTTATCCCCCTGATCCAGGGGCTGCAGCTCTGGATCCACACTCCCTCCCTGCTCTGTCCCTGAGGATCCAGCCTCACCCAAGGGCTGCAGATCTGCCTCTGTGCCCCCTCCCAGGGTCAGTCTGAGCTCATCCCCCTCTGCAATCAGCTGCACATTGGCACCAGTGCTCTGGGCCTCAGTAGTGTTCAGGCTTTCAGCCTCTTCCTGTGCTTGCATGTCTTCATCAGCCCCCTCTCCCTGCCTGACTCCTGATCTGTGCAGATCATGCTCAGGCTCGTGTGGCAGCTCATCCTCACCCTGTCCTTGTGCCCCATCCTCCTCCTCCTCCAGCTGAACAGCTCTTTCACCCTGCCCTCCCCGTGGGCCTCCTGGGCTGGCACCCTCATGGAACATCATATCTTGCTGGGCATCCTCTGCCTTCCTTTCTAAAAACTTGTCTTTATCCTTCTGATCCAGAGGCTGCAGCTCTGGATCCACACTCCCTCCCTGCTCTGTCCCTGAGGATCCAGCCTCACCCAAGGGCTGCAGATCTGGCTCTGTGCCCCCTCCCAGGATCAGTCTGAGCTCATCCCCCTCTGCAATCAGCTGCACATTGGCACCAGTGCTCTGACCCCCTATTGCATGAAAGCTTTCAGCCTCTTCCTGTGCTTGCATGTCTTCATCAGCCCCCTCTCCCTGCCTGACTCCTGATCTGTGCAGATCATGCTCAGGCTCGTGTGGCAGCTCATCCTCACCCTGTCCTTGTGCCCCATCCTCCTCCTCTTCCATCTGAACATTTGTTCCAATTTCTCCTCCCTGTGGGACTCCTGAGCTGAGACCCTCTGACAGCTGTGTGTCTTCCTGGGCATCCTCTGCCACCCCTTCCACCAACTCTTCTTTATCCCCCTGATCCAGGGGCTGCACCTCTGGATCCACACTCCCTCCCTGCTCTGTCCCTGAGGATCCAGCCTCACCCAAGGGCTGCAGATCTGGCTCTGTGCTCCCTCCTGGGCTCAGTCTGAGCCCATCCCCCTCTGCAATCAGCTGCCCATTGGCACCACTGCTCTGATCTTCCACTATGTGTAGGATTTCAGCATTCTCTCTTATTTGTAGCCCTGCACCAGCCCCCTCTCCCTGACCCAAGATCACCCCACTGGGATGAGGCACTGGCTCGTGTGGCAGCCCGTGCTCACCCTGTCCTTGTGCCCCATCCTCTTCCTCCTCAATCTGAACAGCGACTCCTTTCTCCCTTCCCCACGGGGTTTCTGGGCTGAGACCAACACACAGCTGCAGATCTGCATGGGCATCCTCTACTTCCATTTCCAAAATGTCTTCTTTATCCCCCTGATCCAGGGGCTGCACCTCTGGATACAATCTCCCTCCCTGCTCTGTCCCTGAGGATCCAGCCTCACCCAAGGGCTGCAGATCTGGCTCTGTGCCCCCTCCCAGGATCAGTCTGAGCTCATCCCCCTCTGCAATCAGCTGCACATTGGCACCAGTGCTCTGACCCCCTATTGCATGCAAATTTTCAGCCTCTGCCCTTGGTTGTAGCCCTGCACCATCCCCTTTTCCCTGACCCAAGGTCACTGCACTGGGATGAGGCACTAGCTCGTGTCGCAGCCCGTGCTCATCCTGTCCTTGTGTCCCATCCTCTTCCTCATTCTCTTGGAGCTGAACAGCTCTTTCCCCCTTCCCTCTCTGGGGGATTTCTGGGCTGAGATCCCCAGAGAGCTGCAGATCTGCCTCCACCAGTGCCTGAGATGTACCTGGGAACAGCCCACACAAGTCTGGGCTGCCCACAGGTGTTTTTACAGGGGAAGGACCCTCACTCTGCACTGCAGCAGCCCCCATTTCTTCTCCCAGCCCCACTTCTGGTTTATCCTTCTCCAGCTGCACATCTGGATCCACGCCCCCTCCCTGCTGTGTCCCTGGGGATCCAGCCTCACTCCAGACCTGCAGATCTGCCTGCACCTCTGCCAGTAGTTCCATGTTGGTGCTGCTGGGGGCCTCCACCAGTTCCAGCCCTGCTCCCCCTCCTCCCTGCCCGTGGGTGGGTGGCACAGCCGCTGCCAGTGGCTCCAGAGCGCCCACGCTCCCTCTCCACCCTGCGCCTCCCCTGGCACACTCACCCTGCAGCTGCTGCTCTGCCTCCCTGGGCTCTGCTTCCTCCACCTCCTCTTCCTCGCCCCCGGCTCTGCTGGTCCCTGCATGCTCAGCTTGGGCTGGCAGCACCTCCAGCATTTTGGAGTCCGTGGTCTCTCGCTGGGGCTGCATCTCTGTCCTGGCATGCTCCTCGTCCAGCACTCCTGGGCCAGGAGCCCCTGTCACCTCAGGGACACCACCCCCACGGGCTGCTCCCACTTGTGCCTCACCCCAGGATGGTGGCTGTGGCTCCAGGTGCTCTCCCAGCTCAGTTTCCAGTTTCCCAGGGAGCCCTGATGCAGGGTCAGCCCGTCCCTGCAGCACCGTGCCCGGGGCCTGCACACCCAGCTTCCTGCCCAGCTGCTGCTCATCCATGGCAGGGCACTGTCCCACTGCTACACCTTCCTGCCCAGCTTCAGGTGGCCCCAGACCTGCCTCCAAATTTTCTCTCTGGCTTATCTCCACTTCCTCAGCTTCTCCCAGGACCTGTGGTTTTGCGCAAGCTGTTGTTTCCTGCAGCCACCCTGCTCCTTCCACCTCCACCAGCACCTGCTCTCCCAGATGCTCAGCCACATTCAGCACCATCTCCTCCACACCAGCACCCTTTCCTTGCTGGAATAACATCCTCTGTGCCTCTGTGCCTCCTCTGGGCTCTCTCCCTGCTCCCTGCTCCTGAGCCATGCAGTGCCCAGCTCCTGCGGACGCACCAGCCTGTGTCACATCTGGAGCACGAAGCTCAGCTGTGCCTGGCCCCTCCTGCAGGTCTCCTTCCAGCAGCTCATGATGGACGTGGCCAGGGAGGGTCTCCTGCACGAGCCCAGGGGTTGTTTCATGGGCTGTTGCTGCCTCTGGCCCTGTTTGGGGCTCAGCATTGTCCCAGGGGTGACCAGCAGTGTCTGCCAGGGCAGGGGGTGCACCCAGTGCCTGTGCCTTCAGATGTTTGCTCAAAGCTGCTATTGCATCATTCATCTCTCTTAGCAAAGAGCTTTGGTCAGAGACACCTTCCTCTTTCAAAGGTTCTGGGAAGGGGTCCTCTTCTGCAGAGCTTGCTTTCCGTGGGGCTCCTGAAAGGTTTGTTTCTGCTGGCAGCATTTCCCAAACCCTGGAAAGGGCAAAAAATGGTGGCAATGAACCAGCTCCCAGATCAGGCTCCAGCTCCTTTCCATCCCCAGTCAGTCCCAGAGGGTCTCTGATCTACATCCTCACCCCATCCCTCTCCAAACCTGATGTTATTTCCCCCCATTGCACTTGGAGTTCACACGGGCAGCAGTGGGGGCAGGGGAAAAAGGAATGCACACGCAGGCAGCCAGACCCAGGGTTGCATCCTAGCCTCTTCCCAGTACCCATATTGACATTATCAGACAGGAAAAGACAATTCTCAGCCACGTACAGCCAGTTCCTGAGCCAAGGGAGTGATGAGCTGGGATAAGAAATATGAGCTTCAGGGTGAGAGGTGAGAGATGAGTGGGTGGGAGAGGAATGCTAAAACGACAAAATATCACCCTGGGGAGGGTGAAGGGAGGGTCTGGGGCTCAGCCCCAGCTCACAGACCCCAGGGGCACACAGAGGACCCCTTACACTTGATGGGTGCTCTTGGCTTTGCTCTCACTGCTCTGAGATCCCAGCCTGATCCGCATCTCGGAGCGGAACTTCTCACTCTTCCCAGGACTCAGCTGCAGGAGACAGGGTGGGAAGAGAAGAGGAAAAAAACACTTGGTGAGGGAGAATATCCACCTGAAATGATGTGGAGTTCTCCAGCAGGTATCCAGCTGTACCCACCCAAAATCCTGGGGGTACCAGAAGCAAGGTGGTGCAACCCCCCTCCCTTCCCAAACATTTGCACCAGCCCCATTTGAGAGAGATTTCAGGGGAGGCAGTGCTGCAGGAGCACCCTGTGCTCTGGAGCTCCTCAGCAGTTCCATACACAACAGCACGAGGCCCTGGGCCCCCTGTGCTGTCCCCACACACCCCGCTGAAGTACCTGTGGGGACATTGGCACCTCGATGGGTAACTCTGCCACCACTCTGTCCCTGCAAACAGAGAGCACAAGGGTCAAAACAGGAACTCCATCCTCTCCACCACATCCACCCAGCACCAGGGCTGTCAGGGTAGTGATAGGGCAGGTCAGCAAAATCCACAATCTTTGGATCAGTCCTGTTGATCCCTCCTGGGTGAAGGACACCCCCACCTCTCTGGCACTGCCCTCCAGGCACACATTCAGTGCATGGTGCTGGTAGTCCTGCTTTTTCCTCTGATGCTTTGCACACCAAGCCACGATTAACCTGCACCATGGGCAGCACTGGAGCACCGTGATGGCTGAGGCCCATCCAACTCATTCCTCATCCAGGAGGAAATGATGTCTGTGGGGACACATGAGTGACACGCGGTCACTCAGCTACTCACCCAGGCTCCCCCATGTGCTCCCAAGCCACTGTAGCCCTCATCATCCTCAGGTGGCCCTGGGTCTGCTGCAGCTGCTGGTGCAGGTGCTGCAGGTGCTGCTGCAGGGCCCGGTTGCTTTTCTCCAGCTGCTGGTTTTCCGTGCTGGTGACCTGCTGGGAGCTCTGGAGGCTGTGGCAGCGTTGCTCCAGCTGTGGGGTGGCAACCAGGACGCTCAGAGCCAAAAATCCCCACGCAAAATAATTCATAACCACCTCCTCTAGACCCGGGGCTGAATTTCACAGGCCCCCCCCCCTCCCTTTGGATGGTGGGTAGGAAATTCAACTTGTGCCCTCTGGGGATGGAGGGGAGGGCAGGATGGGGGTGGCAAATGTGGTGTAGAGGGTCCTGTGTGACAACCTGCAGCAAGGGCTGCTGGGGACACACCGGGATGGGCTGTGCAGCACCCTGGGGGTGTTACAGCACAGCCCAGAGACCCCAGACTCACAAAGGGGCTTGGGCCAGCCCACCTCCATCTGCGCCGTGACCAAGCGCTGCACCTCCCTCTCGCTGGCATCCAGCACTCGCTGCAGCTCCTCGCCCTGCTGCTGGCTCCGGGCCATGCTCTGGGTGGCACAAGGACACTGGCACCCACTCACCCCGCGGCAGCTGCCCAGGGGGTTTGGGGTGCTGGGTGCCCCCGGCAGGGACAGCGAGGGGACAGGAGGAGCTGGGACCCACCTGCTGCTGCAGCCGCTGCTGCTCCTGCTGGATCTGCTGCTCCAGGGCCTCGCAGAGCTGCTGCACGTCCTTGTCGTGCTCGGCCACACGCCTGTGGCGACAGCGGGGCCGGGGAGGGCTGTGACACCCCGCTCCGGGGGCTGCAGGCCCTGGGGCTCCACACACAGAGCCCCGAGGGTCACCCGGCACGGATGAGTCCGGCAGTCCGAGTCCGGCCCTTTTGCCATCCCTTCCGTGACTGTAGAGGGAGCCCGACCCCAAACATTGGCAAAACCTCTGCTCCCGCCGCTGGTGGGTGTGCTGAAGCATCCAGGTTTCTCCACACGGCTGGAGTGGCCCTCCAGGGCCCCATCCCTGTCCCCATCCCTCCTGTCCCATCCCTATGCACCATCCTGGGGTGACTCACTTGTTCAGAGTCAGCTCCAAAGCCTCTTTCTCGCTCCTGGCTTCTTGGATGCGCTGCCTCATCCTGGCCAGGAAGCCCTCCAGGTTGTCCAGCAGCTGGGGCTCGTCCTGCCGGAGCTTCACCCAGAGCTGCCAGATCTCCTGTCTGCAGGGAGAGGGGTGTTTTGGGGTGAGCCCCCCCCAGAACCCCCAAAGTCAGGCCAGCTGAGTCACCTAACTCACACTTTTTGAGGTGTGTGAGGGCGGATGAGCTCTGGGGTCACTGTGGCCCTGCTCCTGTGCTCAGGCCAAAGGCGCCTGCATGGCATTTCCGAGCTCCCTGCCTGTGTGGGGATCTCCTGCCCCAAGCCTTTCCCCCTCTATCCATCCTGCAGGACACCCACGAGTGCCAAGCAGGGCACTTACTCTTCAGAGGGGTGGCCTGTGCCCAGCTGCTCCATAAAGGCGGCGAAGTGTCTGCGCTCCTCGCTGTCCCCCCCTGCCAGCGCCGGGCCGGGCAGCACCAGCCGCACCCTCCGGGACGCCGTCTTCCTCCGCCGGTGCTCCCTGGCAGCGTTTTGGGAGCTCAGGAACTGCCCTGCTGACAGATATCCCAAATCCTCAGTGCCAGCAAAGCCCAAACCCCAACACTTCCCCCTCCATGGCTTCAACAAAGCAGCTCAGCACAGCAGGACCCTGCTCCAGGTGAGCCAGGAGCTGAGAGCCAGTCATGGGGATGATTCATCCTGTGCCACACAGAAAGCAGCACCTCACATCCCCCAGGAGAGCCCCGGGACCGTGTCCAGGACCAGCCCAGGCTGCACTTACGGAGCCCGGCCGTGAACTCCTCTGTGCCCAAGCGCCCGGTGCCAGCGGCATCCAGCCCATCGAACACAAGCTCCAACTCCTCCCTGCTGCACGGCAAACCTTCCTCATGCAGCTTCTAAAACCAAAGCAAATCAGGGTGAAACCCACCCGTCACACCATCTCCAGTGACCCGGCAGTGCTGGAGCCCAGGGCACAGCTCCATCCTCACCTGCATGTCGGAGCGGGTGACGACTCCCGCCTGCCCCGTGTCCCTGTCGCTGAGCAGGTGCTGCACCCTCTGCACTATTTCAGATGCCCATGGTGGCTCCTCACTGGGCCCAGGTGCTGGTGCCGGGGCCTGCCCGGGGCCCTCCTGCAGCTGCTTGCGCCGGCTGGAGCCCAAGCGCCGGCCCTTGGCGCCCGCCCGGCGCTCCGACATGGCCTGGCCTGGCCTGGCCTGGCCTGGAGGGGACACTCGGCCCGCTCTGCCCTCGCTGGGCACCTTTGCTCCAGCCTGGTGGGAGACAGCAGAGAGGGACCGAGCTGGAAATTCATTTTGCTGTGCCTAAGGGCCCAGACCCTGATTGCTGAGGAGGATTTGGTAACAGGAAGGGAAGGAAGGCCTTATCTCCGATTGCACGGCACAAATGGAGCCTGGATCTGCAGCAGCAACAGCTGCTCCTGCCAGGCATCCCAGGGGCTCCCAGCCCAGCTCCCACCTGCTGAACACTCCTCCTGCCACCAGCCAAGCACCCATCCCAAATCTTCCCATACTCTTCCCCAGCCGTGGAGGATGCACAGGGCACCAGCAAGGGCCACCCAGGAGGTGACACAGCCAGGAGGTGACACCAGCAAAGGACCAGCCAAGGTGATGCTGGAGGTCTGAGCAGGACGTGCTGGTTCCACCTGCCTTCTCAGGGCTCAGCAGCACCTTTTAAAATTCCTCCCCCAGTTTTCACAGCTGTGAGTCACCTCCGGGCAGAGGGCAGGAGCCCTCGGCAGGTTTCCACCACACTGCTGCTCACCCAGGCTTGTGGGGCCTGAGCTGGGGACCCCAGTGCCCTGTCCCCAGCCTGGGTGGGTGGCCGTGTCACCAGCAGCCACCATGCCATCCCCAAGAGGGGCTGTTCTTTGTGTGGCAAAGCTGAAACTGCGAGGGAAGGAAACCACAGCCTCGGGGAGCGGTGACGCAGGGCCGGGGCCGTGCTCGCTCTGGCTGAGCCAGCTCTCCACTCCCAGCCTGGGGGGACAGCAGCTCCTCCAGCCCTCTGCCCCCTTCCTTTGCCATGATAAACAGATCCTGCTAAATCCCAGTGTGACCAGAAATGGGAACAGGGCCCAAAACCTGCCCCTTAAAGCAAGAGGGTCTTGTGGAGTTGCTGGAGTCCCACAGAACCAGGAACAGCCTTGTGGTGATCTCAGCCTCTAAGACAGCAGAAGTAGGAGCTCTGGGGGGTAGGGGGGTTGTTTAGGGCATGGAGAAGCCCCTGGTTCCTCTTCCAGCTCCAGGGCAGGTGAGCTGAGCCCACAGCATGATGGAGGCACTGAGCGAGCAGGGAGATGGGATGGGATGGGATGGGATGGGATGGGATGGGATGGGAATTGTGCCCCCCCCAGCCAAGCAGGGTCCCCCATGGCATTACCAGCTCCCAGTGTCCTGCCTCCCCCCAAAGCACCCTGCGCTGCTCCCAGCCCTCAGAAAGGAGCCCCCAGCCACCGTCCCTCACAGGCAGCAGGAAATAGCTCCCTTGGATCACCAACAGCAAGAAAAACCCCTTATTTCCCCCAGTTTTCTGTTTCTTAAGGTGATGCCCGAGCCATCCCCAGAGCAGCAGGACTTACCCTCCCCACGAGGGACCCTCAGTGTGGGGCACACGGGGCCAAGGGCTCCCCAGCTCAGAGGGACGGAGCTGCCCCCGCTCTCATCTCTCTTACTCAAGGCACCTTCCGTTCTGGGGTGACACCAACTGCCTGTGCTCACACATTTCCTGTTTGCTGCCTTGCAAGTGGCGTGTGGAAAGGACCCATCCAGAGGGTCACGGTGTCCCCAGAGTCCCCAGGTCCCAAGGCAGCTCTGCAAAGGCACTGCCAGTGCCCTCAGGAAGGCAGCAAAGTCCCTGTCCTTTCCTGGTTTGCAATGTCCGGGGCTGGGAGGTGTTTGGAGTGGGGGGAAGAACAGCAGACAAACAGCAAATGTTATTTTAAGGCTCCAAATAACCCAAAATACAAGATTATCTGTAGTCCTTGGATTATAACATCCTACCAAAGACAGAACAACCTGAAAATCCCCTCTGTGGAGGCTCTTTGGCCCCAGATTTTGAAGATGTCCTCCCTGTGCTGTTCTCTGATGGGTTTTTTAAGGCTCCTGCCTGAATTATAAACTTGGCTTTAAACCCACTGGTTACCCATGGGCTGCAGCCTCTCTGCTTCATGAGGCACAGGGAATCAGATGGACCACAGGCATTTTCTCGGCTCTTTAACTGTAAAATGTGAAGAGAACTCAGGCAGGAGGAAACACTGTTATCTCTAGGGCATAACTCGAGCAAACATCCCCTGACCCACAGCAGATCTGAGCCCAGGCTCCCCGGGCAGGTGCTGTGAGCTGGATGCTGATGCCCCAGCTCTCTCTGCCCATCTAAACTGGTGAAATCCCTCACTGGGAACCAGCCACACCCTGCTCATTTGCTGTTTAACCTAACGGAGCAGCAGCCAGCTCAGGTCCATCTGCTCCATCAGGGCCAGCTAAAGCTCAGCTGGTTCTTCTGCACACTCTGGGCAAAGCTGGAGCTTCTTACCCCAAAATGAAGCATGCCCTTGGTTAGGCTGGGGGGCTTAGTGTGTCCTCACCCTCCAAGCCTCTGCAATGTTTGTTGCTGCACAGAGATGGCTGGATTTTGGTTTTCCCTAAGGATTTGAGGAGAAAATTTTCCCTTTTGAAGGGAAAACCCTGAATATCCCTGGGATAGCTTGATTTGTGCCCTCTGCCCAGCAAGGCTCTGGCATCGTGCTTCCAGCAGATCAGCAGAGGTCACCAGAGGGCACAGACCGGGAGGGAGGGCACGATCCAACCCCGAGGAGATGCTGGAAGGTGCCAGTGAAAGGGGATTGAATGTGGACAAGGGAAGGGAACCACCCAACCCTCCCCCTGTGGGGGTTTGACCCTCAGCATCCCTGATCTGTGTGAGGCCAGGCTGGGGTGGGAGCAGCAAAACACAGCCTGGGCTGAGTGTGGGAGGTTTCCATCCATGCCCCAGCTGCTGGGAGCCCATCACTGGTTTCTGTCCCAAAGCTAGGGGGACACAGTCCTGGAGTGTCCCAGGGACAGAGCTCAAGCCCTGGTGCCCAGCAGAGCCATACCCTGGCTCTCCCCAGAGCCACAAACACAGACAAGGGGGTTTCACTGGTTTATTTCTCATTTCCTTCATTGCTACTGCTCCTGGCAAACGGGAGGTGACAGCAGAGGGGAGCTCCTGGCAGCAGCCAGGGGGGTTTGGAAGGACTGACGTAAGGGGAAAGATTACAGGGGCTAAATCTGTAGGGTTTGACTCGGCAGCAGCTCAAAGGCTGAGCGTGTGTCAAGGGCCATGGGCCTGCACGGGTGTCACCCCTCACTCCAGGGACAGGCAGAGGCTTTAGGGATCCTCAGCTGAACAATAACACGAGGTTGTCATTGCCATCAACTTTCTTTTCATCTGGATCCTCTCAAATCTGGTCATTTCTCACATTAACCAGAACCTGAGTCTCCATCCAAGCCTTGCCCAGTCCTCCAAGGAAGCAGCCAGTGGTAGAGACATCCCTGACTCCCCTGGGATCTCAGCCCCACCCAGGAAATGCCACTGCACCGTTCCACCAGCACATGCTGGTGTCCCCATCCCACAGCATGGGTCACCCTGGGCACCCAGCACTCCTTTACAGGGGTAAGGGAGGGGAGCAGCTTGGAGGGGAGTCACCATGGGACTGGGTGCTGAGGGTTAGGGGGAACAGGGTCACAGTGGGGAAGGGGGAATGATGGGGACAACAGAGGAGCCACAGGGGGTCTCCAGGGACAGCTCACACAGGTGGCACTGGCTTCTGCTGGGGACATGGTGGCAGCACCAGACCACTGTCCCCAGGGAATGGGGTCAAGCACAGAGGTTGTGGCAAGGCTTTATCCCTCTTAGCCCTCACAAAGGCAGATGCCAGCTCAGGGCTGCATCCCCAGAGGGATCCCCAGTCCCTGGAACACCCCCCTCCCCCAGCCAGGCCCTGCTCCCCATCCCACATTAACCCAGAATGCCTTTGCACAGGTGTTTATTCAGAGTTACACTTACAGACAAACAGGTATTTCCCCTCTCCCCACATACACTTCATAGCATTATTTTAAATATAAATAAACATTTAGTGCTGGGAGCTTGTCAGCTTCACCGACAGCAAAGTGCATGGTGGTGCAAGGTGGGAGATCAACCCTGTCCCTCTTCTTCCTGGGACCATCTTGCACCAGTTTCCAGAGTCCAAATCCAGCAGAGCAGCAGATGAACTCCATGAAAGTGCCGAGACCTGACAGTGTTGAGTCCCTCAGGGACTCATCCTTCAGTGCTGGAACTGAGCAGCCCCTGCTCCAGGCCATCCCTTGGTCCCAGAGCAGAGCCAGGTGAGGGTCCTCTCCCCGCCAGCCCCAAAAGAGAAAAAGTCCAGGAAAACAAGCTACAATTCCTTATTTCAGCATCACCCCTGCTGCTGAGCAGGACTTCTTCCAAGAGGAGCCCAGCAGAGCCAGAGCAGGGGCTCCCCAGCCTGGTGTCAGTGTTGAGGCAGGCAGGGGCATGGGGACAAGCAGCACCACTCAACAAGCCAACAACAAGGTAAGAAAGTGGGATTTGGGGCCAGCAGAGTGCAGGGGATCCCAAAGCCTCCTGGGGGCAGTGCTGGTCCCTGGTGGCTGCTCCCGGGGAGTCACCCCAAGGAAGATTTGTCCAGGGAACAGCTTCCTCTGCCCAGAGCCGTGGGAAGGAGCAGCCTCCACATCACTCTGCTCCCACACACGGACAAGTGCTCGGGTCCAGCCTGCTGGGACAGAGGGCCACCCTCATGTGCCAGCAGCAGGGGTGTCCCAGGGCTCTACAAGCCACACCAGTGACTTTTCTTAAAGTTATCTGGTGCCACCAGGTGGTTGGGACACAAGTGTCCCCCAGGACCGGCCCCTAGGCAGGGGACAGACCACGGCTGGACAGCAGGATGGCACAAGGACGGTGTTTGGACCCACAGGCACAGGGCACAGGACACTTTTCTGCAGGCAGGGCAGTGCCTTAATCCCACCAGGTCCATCTCAGTCCTCCTTCAGCCCACCGTGGGGCTCCTCCTCTACATTGCACACAGTGAAGGTCCCTCAGGACCCCAGAGCAACTCATAAATAGGGAACTACAGACTCTACATTGCTACAGGAGAGCTCAGCACAGGGCAGGGGAGCCACGCTCACCCCGGGGGCAGCGGCTGCCCCAGCGAGTCACGGCCGGGGCTGGGCAGGGACGATCCTCCGCTTGGCACTGTAGAAGTCTGGAAGGAAGAAGGAAAGGGTTGGAAAGTGGCTCCAGCCCGCTGGGAGCAGCAGGGCAGGAAGAGGGAGGTGTCCCCAGGGAGGCACCCCAAGCCCAGCCCAGGTGGGTTTCACCCTAAAGCCCCCGTGCAAAGCTGCTGGAGAGCAGAGCTGTAAGTCTGCATCATCTCTGCTGTTTGTCTCATCTGCAGCTCTACTCCAGGCCCTGACCATGGAGGACAGGAAGAAACTTTTCACTGTGAGGGAGGTGAGACACTGGCACAGGTTGCCCAGGGAGGTTTTGGATGCCTCAACCCTGGAAGTGTTCAAAGTCAGGCTGGATAACCCAGGGAGGTTTTGGATGCCTCAACCCTGGAAGTGTTCAAAGCCAGGCTGGATAAAAGCTTTGAGCAACCTGGGCTAGTGGGAGATGTTACTGCCCACAGGGCCTTAAGGCACAGGTTGCCCAGGGAGGTTTTGGATGCCTCAACCCTGGAAGTGTTCAAAGCCAGGCTGGATAAAAGCTTTGAGCAACCTGGGCTAGTGGGAGGTGTTCCTGCCCACAGGACCTTAAAGATTATCTTTAAGTTCCATTCCAACTCCTTAATATTCTGTGATTTTATGACTGGGTCAGGTCATTGGAATTGAAGGTGATGAATTTGGGGGCATCTTCAGCTACAAAACCCACAGGCCCAATGCCAGTCCCCTGCACAAACCCCAGCAGCCAAAAGGCACCCAGCTGGTGGCCTTCTTCCCTTTGCAAGATGGGCTCTGCTTCCCTAGGAGAGATCCAGGGAGGGTGGGACCCCTCCCCATGCCCAAGAGCCAGGCAGGGCTCTGGCACCCAAGTCCCCTGTCTGTCCCTGCCATGACATCAATGCCACCAAGCCCCCAGGGAGTGACACCAACCCCCAGTGCTCACCTTTGATCGTGGTCTGCCCACGTTTCAAGCTCTGCAGGGAACCAGCCTTGTAAACCTTCGAGCTCTGCTGAGCCTCCTCGGGGCAAATCCTGCCAACACGCTCCTTGGGAGGGACCCTGTGGGCCAAGGAGCTCCTGCTGTCACTGCTGATGACAGCCCTGACCAGGCTGTGAACCTCCTGGGGCGGCTGCTCAGCCACCAGGATCCTCTCCCACTTGAACGGCCCTTCCAGGGGAGTCTCTGTCTCAAAGTTGAAGTTCCAGCGCTGCTGAGCTTCTTCCAGCTGTTGTTTTATGTTGTCTTCAAAGTCATGCTGGAGCTGCTCGTGGTCCACGGGGCCAAAGAGGTTCCTGCAGGCCTTGCTGCTGCACGGGGTCTGCCCAGCCCTGCTCTGGGACAGCGGCATCGTGGCGGCTGCGGGGAAACCAGAGCGAGTTAACGGGGGCTGGGATGATGGGAACAAACACAGGGGAGTGCTGGCCACCAGGGCAAAGCACACGG